CGAAGCGCTGCCCGAATTTCTAGTCGTCAATTTAACAAGTGAGTGCATAGTTACTTTCATTTTACAGATAGATATGAAGTATTTAATATTAATACATGTTATATGTGCTTATTATCTGTGTTCCTGATACATGTGCTAGATGAACGATTTATACATGTTTTACGTGATTTAAATTGTATATATGTATTTTTATATTTATAAATATATGGGGTAAAGATAGGTAGATGAATTATGAGAGATGAAAGATGATATAGATGATGAGAGGTGAAATATGATGAGAAGCCTTGACTTTAAAGTTGATCTAGTCATCTAGCAGAGTGTATGTAACATCCTGTTCTGGATCGTTTTGTGATTTAAGGCTCGGGGGCCATAATCCAAGTATGAGAAGGTTTTGAGGCTTTAAGGGTGAAAGTCTAGGCCAACTTTGGATATGGATAAGGTATCTTGTGTGATAAAAGAGTTCGGGTTATGCTTTAGAGTCCAAGAGTATCAGAGAAGGCGTTGGCTCGATTTTTATGAATTTTGGGTTTTTTTCGTGGAGTTTTGAGGTTATGATGAGTTGCTCGAAGCGTAGGGCTTCTTGCCACCTTTCTGTGGATATAAGGTTCGTTGGAAACGGACTTATAATGAAGGAGATATGATAGCTTGAAGTTTTGGCAAGATTAGTCCTTATTGAGAAATGGTTGGCAATTGGGTACGCTGGGCATACAGTTTAGTACGTGTAGCTTACTTATACGCTTTGCATGATCGTGAATGCCACCTAGTACGATAGGCATACCATAGGGTACGCTGGGCGTACTAGGTCTAGAAAGAAAACCCTAATATCTTGGAGTGTCCCTATTTAAGGAACATGATGGCCTCATTTCCAACCACCATTTCCAGTATCCAAGCCCTCTCAAACCCTAATCCCATTTCTCTAGATTGTGTGAGGGTTTGTGGCTCATTTGAGTGTTCTTATGGAGCTTGTGGTGAAGAAGGAGTCTTGAAGGAAGGAAAGCTTATGCTTCTAGCGTGTGGATTTGAGTTCTAATCTAGTTGGTGCATCCTCTAGAGGTATCAAGTTCAAAACTTGCTTATTGTTGTGATAGTTTTGGTTTTGGGTCCATTTCTAGTGTTTTATGTCCCAAGCTTGAAGCTTTATGAGTTTGATGAACTCCATAGCATAATACCTGTCCTTTCATGAGTATTTGGTGGTCTAGATTCACAAAAATGAGATCTTGGTCTTCTAGACCTTCCCATGCATATGTTAAGATGAGTAAAGAGAGTCTTAATGGTTATTTTTGGAAGTTAGGTCCCATTAACACATGCAAACTGATAAAGTCGCCAACTTTATCAGTTAGGAGCTTGTAATGAAGCCTCCCCGAGGTTTAGATGTTTTTGGTTGAAGTGGTTAAGTCGCAAATGGAGTTTTTAGGTCTGAGTATTACGCCTCGCGTAAGTCACGGTGTACCCCGCGTACTGGTCTAGTTGCCCCAATCAGGATTTAAATGTACGCCGAGCGTACCAAGGGAGGTACGCCCCGCGTAGTCCCGCTGTGGGCTTGTTGCGTTTGGGCTTCACATCCTTGGGTTGTTTGTTGGACTTAATGTTGGGCCTCTAGGCCATCTTAGAGTATTGTTTTACTAAGATAAGCGTTGGTCTTAAGACAAGGTGCATATGGGGGTTGGGCCCAATTTGGAAAGTTGGGCCGTTAGTGGGCCTATGTGAACCTTTCTAGTCTTGGGCCATGGTGGGCCCAATGAGTTGGGTCAATAGTGGACTTGGTTAGTCGGGTCATCCTTGGGCTTAGTGATGAGGTGTAGCCTTGCATAGTTTTTGATTATGGCGTTGGGTTGTTTTAGCCAGAGTTCATGAACCAGTGTGCAGCGGCAGTGTAGGATTTTGCGTGTAGCGGTTGAGGTGGGTCTTTTCACTATACTTACCTGTGTGGTAATGCATGAGTGCTCGGAGAGTCTTATTGTGTTATTGATCAGAGGGTTTTATTGTTTTATTGACCGGAGGGTCTTATTTATGTTGTTGACCGAAGGGTCTTATTTATATTATTGACTGGAGGGTCTTATTTGTATTACTAGCCAGAGGGTCTTATCTGCTTTATGTTTTATTATGCATTCTATCTTTGTGACTTATGTTGTTATATTATTCTGTATATATGTTGAGCTATGACCGAAGGGTCTATACCGAGCCGTGAGACCGGAGGGTCTTCACTGAGACACATGACCGAAGGGTCCATACCGAGCTGTGAAACCGGAGGGTCTTCACTGAGACATATGACCGGAGGGTCCATATCGAGTCATAGCCATGAGAGGCTTATTATTTGTGTATGTGGTATTTTGGGGAACTCACTAAGCTTCGTGCTTACAATGTTTGTGTAAAATGTGTTTCAGATACATCTCAGGATCGCTGGAAGGCGGAGGCATGATTATACACATTCGTTGGCTTATGGAGATTTGAGGATTTTAGGATACTCTGATATTTTTTTGATAATAACTTAAATAATATGTGATGACCTGAATTTATCAGTAATATTTTGAGAATTAAAATTGAAAATTTTGTCTCGAAATTTGAGGTGTTACAGTATAGATGACGACCACGGACTATTCTAGACAATCCAGTGGAATTCTAGCAGGCTCGCAACCTGTAGGTGTTTGTGAACAACGTGTTCACCAGATGTATTCTAAAAACCATGACAGTTATGGACTTAGTGCCTTACAAATGAATTGACAGTTATGGACTTAGTGCCTAACAGATAACATTGGCATTTGTGCCATTGACAGCTATGGACTTAGTGTCTGTTAGATAACCCTGACAGCAATGGACTTTGTGTCTATTCCTTAGGAAACCCTTAGGAATGAATAAATTAAGAATAAGCGATTCTTAGGAAAGATCCTTAAGAATAAAGAAGATAATGGGGATCAGAAATTGGGCTAATTGTTTGATGATTAAAAATAATAATTATATTATTATGGGTTGAAAACTCTATGTACTCACCAGGTTTCCCAACCCGACCCACTCAGTTTATTGTCTCACATGTGGCTATATGAAAGATACATTATGTCGAGAGATTAAGGAGTATTAGGTCACTAGTTTAACTACTGTAAGGCTTATAATATTTTGTTATGCTTATGTTTCTATATTGACGATAACATCCCAATGTTTTAATATAAATAAAAAATACATTTCTTCAGAAATGTTTTGATAATATCATTATCATATTTTTCTAGGAACAGATTTTGCAATATTATTCTTCAGCCGTGAAAATGAGGATGTCACACATACCATGTGATAAAAGTAACTATTTATACTCTCTTATTAATTTTCATAAAACAATAATTCTCCAATTAAATAAAAGTTTTGATAATGTTTATTAATAATCAAATTCTAATATATAATTAATAAGTGACAACTTGCTATAATGTGTGACTATAAAATCATATGCTATTAGCAAATATCATTCTATAATGATTATTGGACATTTAGATCTTTCATTTCTTTGGTATTTAAGCTTTTTCATTATGGCATGTCTTCTTCTTAAGAGCAACATATTTTGTAACTTGTTCGAAAATTTGGATTCCTTGATACCAATCATATCCTGTCTCATCTCTCATGGACTCCACGCCAAACCAAGACGTCTACTTAGCCACTTATTGGACCTACTTGATATATTCAGATCATGAGATCCGTTTAATACGCGACACTGACTCGACCAAATCTTTCATTTGCATTTAAAAAAGTTTGTCAATCCATGCTAAAGAGTAAACATATAGGCACCACTTGTCAACTGACAATTATCATACATATTGTTTTCCACCTTCAAGACTCCAATGCTCATGGGCTTTTCTTTCATCTTAACTTTCATCTCCTTTTCGACTAGACTCATTGCATCCACACATTTAGAAGGTTTGTGTGGATTACTGAAAATCCACTGGATTTTTTCCGATCCTCCGAGGCGCACATTTGGGTTTTATCTCTTATATCATAATTACGTTTTCCTTTCTGCTTTCCTTCATGATTACGATGCGATATCTTGGAGCCACCTTTTTCTCCTCTAACGTCGTGTTTCATACACATGAAACATATTGATGTCAACTTCCACTCAGAGAAGTGAGAAAGTCACACAAAAGGATTAATATTAGTTGATCTCTACACATGATCAACTTGATGATACCTTTAGCAAGCAATCACGTACTCTTTGATTTGTTTTTCTTTGTTCCAAGCTTCAATCTGCTACTCGTCATCATCATCCGCTTGTAGGATCATACCAAACCTAGTATATCTAGGCTAAATGTACTATATAGTTGGATCTCTAGGGCTAGGATTAATGTGAAGCATTCCCAATATATCACTTCTTACGTCATACTCATTGTTCAATACAAGGCAAATACACACAAGAAGAGATTTTCAGAACTTAATCTATCCTTTGCATAAACAAACTCATTTTTCAATACAAGGCAAATACACACAACAGAGATTTCCAGAACTTAATCCATCCTTTGCATAAACGAATGACCCAAAGTGAATTTATATACCACCTTTTTGGGTGGAACAACGAATTGTTATCTTTGTCATATTTATTACAATCCTATTCCCAACAAACATGATACAATACCATTGTATTAAACGGGGCTTCAAGTATTTAACAAAACCAATCCGATCTAATTTCCTAGAACTTATCCTATCAAATATGTGGGTATATTTAACTAAAAAAAGTAAATCCGCAAGCTTTTGTTTTCTTCCGTTTTGTGATGAAGAAATAACAAAACAAAGAGAAGTGCAAAGGAAAGACAATGCTGAAAGCAACACCACCCACCACCAACAGTTGAAACTGAAAACAGAATCAAACATATCGTTTTACTCAAAGAAACTTGGAAAACCCACCCACCACCATCTTCCATCAAAAACCTATTCACAACAACATACATCCCCACTAGTATCTACCTACTATATATCTTGAAAATCATAATAAAAGAAACAAAAAAACAAAAAAAAAAAAAAAAAAAAAACTGCAACTTTCAAACTCCAATTTTGATGCATCTTCTACATAGCTACACAGGTATGACATCCACCTTTGATGCATCTTCACATCTCAACACTATGCCCTCCAAGCTTCCTGGCAGCATACACTTTGCCCATTGACACCCTGTTGTGAATGCATCCCCCGGTGGAACTATCATCAGCACATTCTCATTCCTCTGCACTACTCCCATCACACTTACTGTGCTCCCTTCCTTGATATAACTACATCATAAATAATAAAAAACCCCAAAACTCTTTTAATCATATTAAATTATTAAAATATTCATTTCCCCACATAATCAATCAAACACTTACCCTTCTTTCAATCTCATCACACGATCATCACTCGACAGGTTTCTCTCACCCAACCACCTCACAAACTCTGGAGACAAATCTTTATTCAAAGGGTTCACATCAACAACTACGGATTCATCCACATAAGGTGTCACCCTTGCTCCATATCCAGTCTTTACCAATGCCCTTAATCCAGATTGGAAATCAGATATGTAAAAATCCACCACATGCCTCTGTCATTTTTTTAAAAAATTATTAATTAACCTTTCACATGATGACACAATCACAAACACAAAAGGCTACTCACTTCTGATGACCTCAGCCCCCATGTAAACTTCCTATGTGTAGGGTTGGCTGCTTTTGAATCCCATCCTCTGTATTCATATAAACTTGTGGAAGTATACACGCATCTTGGAACCTTCTGGAAGGCTGATTCAAGTGGCACGTTTCCACATGTCACCACCTTCAAAATTCATAAATAAAGTTTAGAAAAGTAATATGTGATTTGATTTAAGAGATGTAAGTTGAAGAATGAAGATTACATACCCCAGAAACCTTGACATATTGACCATCTTTTGCAGTTCTAAGTTCAGCATCAGGATAACGAGCAATGAATCCAATGATGGATTGTCTACCATAACAAGTATTCCAAGTGAACAATGCTGCGACAATGATGAAAAGAACCACCACAATCACAAGGAGAATACCATTGTGAACAGCTCCAAGAATAAACCCACCAGCAATGAATCCCATCACGAACAACAGAATCATGGACCATAATATTATCTTCGGGAAACCCTTCTTGAATGAGTAATCATCGTCTTTAGTGAGAGTAGTCACAGCCTGATTGTTAACAACGCCGTGTACTTTCATCGAGCCCTTAGAGTCCAGAGGGCCAGAAAATTTCCGGGGAGCTCCGGATGAAGTTAATGGGCCGGAAGAGATTGGGCCGGATGTGATTAGGCCGGTAGCAGGGAGGACCGGCGGCAGAGGGCCTGAATTTTGGCGGTTCACCGGCGTCACTCCGCCAGATTGAGGACCGGAAGACTTTTTTATAGGTTCGCCGTGTTTATTTAGTGGCCCTGAGTTTGACTTTTTGACAGATACAGGAACGCCGCCGGTTGACACAGGGCCTGATGTGGAGTAGCTAGACCTGGCGGCGTTTGACATGATCGGTCCTGAATGTGAAGCGACGCCGGTGAATGATCCGGTTCTTGAAGGACCGGTTATTGGGCCGGATTTTCTTGATTTTGAGCCGTCAGTGTTGATATCAAACATCTTTCCTAGCTCACCGGATTTCTTGATGTCACCACCGGTGTAAACCATGGCTGAAGAGCTCATGGTCGGAGCTCTTTCTTTTGGCTGCTCCGGTCGCCCTGACACATACAGCCCATTACTGAGCTGATGAGATGGGAATCTTGAACCCATCGGCTTTTCTTGTAGTTGCTAAACACCCTGAAGACAAATATAAGTCGATTAAACAAATGGCTTAAGATTTCAGATAAATAAATGAACAAATCGTTATAGATCAGAGATACATAGCATGTTCTTCATACCAGACTACATCTTCAAGTGGTAGAAATTAAGAAAGCCGATAGTTTTATATAAATGGACCTC